GCCTCCCAAGTAGCTGGGACCACAGGTGCCCGCCACAACGCCCAGCTATTTTTTGGTTGTGGCCGTCATTGTTATCTGGCAGGCCCAGGCTGGATTCGAACCTGCCGCCGTAGGTGTATGTGGCTGGTGCCTTAGCCACTTGAGCCACAGGCGCCAAGCCTTAAGTGATACTCTTGCCTCAGCCTCCCAAGTGGCTGGGACTACAGGTGCCTGCCAGTGCCCAACTAGCTTTTGGTTGTAGTTGTCATTGTTGTTTGGTGGGCCTGGGCTGGATTCGAACCCACCAACTCTGGTGTATGTGGCTGATGCCTTAGCCGCTTGAGCTACAGGTACTGAGCCAGCTACCTCTTTAATTTTCATCCACTAAGACAGTCCCCACCTGGACATGACAACCTGACAACCTCATACCCTCAGTCTTAAGCCTGTGCCAGTCCTGACCCAAGAGGACAGTCCCCATCTGCAGAGGACATCCTCTCACCTCCTAACTCACACGTCTGTGCCACTTCCTCAGACTGTGCCACTAAGACAGTCTTCACCTGGACAGGTTGACCTCACATCCTCACACACCTATGCCACATTGTCAGTCTTCATCCATGAGGACAGTCCCCACCTAAATGGGACATCCTCACACATCTTCCCTGGACACATGCCTGTGCCACATGTTCTGTCCACTTGGGTAGCAGTAGAGCCCCTCTTCCTACTTCTGTCTGGCCTGCTTTACACTGGGACTCTGACCTCTGCTCGTTCTCCTGTGAGTGAAAGTCATGGTGCCCTTCAGTCTTCTCATGTTAAATAATAGATTTTATGTTACATTTCATCCCATTTGTGTTCCCATCTCCATCTAAAGTCTCCCTCCCTAGGGAGATTCTAGGATCTTGGCTGATTCTTTTTGATATAGGAGGGTTTTATGTCTGTGCTGTGTTAAGGATGTGTCCTGTAGTCCTGAGCTACTCCAGGAGGAACACTGTACTATAATGCTGCTCAGAAGGTACATGCCAGGCGGAGCTCAGTGAGCATTCCTTCCTTAGGCTGAGTGGCCAGGCCTTCTAGTGAGGGTTACCTGATGGCTGGCACGCTTAACCTATGTGGGTCAGCTTCTGTGTTGTATCTTGACCTAGGGACCACAGAAAAATGTGGAAATACCAAGAATGTAAGTTTTTTAATTAAATTTCCAAATAAATTATTTCCAACATTTTATGGGATCAGGGCAATCACCACATATATTTAATTTTTAAACTTGAAGCCATCTAGCCCTATTCATGTGATAGGGAAACAGAGCACTGAAATTAAAATCATTGATCTTGAACCCTAGGGGACTGTAAAAAAAAAAAAAGATGAAGAAACTGAAATCAATCACTTAGGAGGAATAAAAAAAAGGCAAATTAGTAGCAAACATTTCTCTTACCTTTAACAGATATTTGGCAATCAAATTCATAAGGAAAGATGATTACTTGTGTACATGTTTTATGTTATACATATATACACATACACATTAAAGTATGTACCTGTAGTAAATATGTATCACATAAACATTTTACATATAAACACATACCAGTTTATTATCTATTGTTATCATATTAGAAAATGGAGTTCTTCATGTCTTTGGGATTTCTTAATCTGGGCTCAAAAACAAACTTAAAGAGGAAACTGGTAGATTTTACCACAACAAGATTAAAGATTTCTCTAACAGAAGACAACAGTTTGGAAGAAGTGATTGCAGCCTCCAAAGTCTAAAAGAATTAATATTTAGAATAGTTAAAATTCTTGCAAATCTGGAAAAAAAAAGACAGCCCAGTAGGAAAGAAGAAAATGGAACAGGCAAGCCACAGGGCAAAACTGCACCCCAAAACAAATAAAAAACATCAGATGCTCCATCTCACAACCAATGAAAGAACGTAAGTTAAAATAATGTCTGGATGCCATCTCATCCTCATGAGAATGGTGAACTACAAAGTCAGGCTCCCTAGCACTGGGGGTGGGGGGGTGGGGCAGGACCTAAACACTGTCCAGGTGCAAAGCACACATGTGTCAGGCCCAGCTGAAGCTGATGCTCCATGTGGGTCCTGCAGAAGAGCCCCCAGGGTAACTCTGCACAGTACCTTGAGACTTGTGCCAGATACACTGGACCATACTATGGAGTTCTCAAAGGTACAGATCCCTAAACACATCTTGGTGGTGCACAGGGAAGATGTGGCTTAAACACTGATGGACACAGGAGTGTGGCAGAGCAAGTGGGGAGGGAACAGAGACTCACCAGGGCCAGGGTGGTTGGTTGGTTCTAGATAAGACCTGAAGGCTGGTTCTTAAATCTGACAGGAGAAATGAGATCAACAGGTGGGAATGATGAACTTGATGCTTCCTTCCATTCTGAAACATGCATTTTTTTTTTTTTTTTGAGAAGTAGTTTTACTCTGTTGTGCAAGGCTAGCATGCCCTGGCATCACAGCTCACAGCAACCTCAAACTCCTGGGCTCAAGTATTGCTCTTGCCTCGTCTCCCCAGCAACTGGGAATATAGGCACCTACCAAGATGCCTGGCTAGTTTTTCTATATTTAGTAGAGACAAGGTCTCACTCTTGCTCAGGCTGGTCTCAAACTCCTGAGCTCAAGCAATACACTTGCCTTGGCTTCCCAGAGTGCTAGAATTACAGGCGTGAGCCATCATGCCTGGCCTGAAACATGCATTCTGAAAACCTTTCTGACTGTCTTATTCTATTTTGTGTTGCTTTAACAGAATACCAAAGCCTGGGTAATTTATAGAGAAAAGAGGTATATGCAGCTCATAGTTCTGCAAGCTGGGAAGCACTATTTTCTGCCGACTGCTTTGGGCTGTTTCCTAACATGGCAAAGGTGAAAGCAGAAACAGACATGTGCAAAGACAAAGAACCGAAGGAGTGCTGCGGGACTGATCTAGTTTCACCAGAGTCAAAACTCACTATGATCTGCTCCTATTATCCCACCTCCCAAACTTCACCATGAGTTTTGGGGGGGACAAAAACCACATCCAAACCACGCACTGACGTATTGTGAAATCCACGTATCTACTGGATGCATGACAAATCTCGGTAATGCGAGGTTCACAGATGTCAAGCACTAAGGAACATTGTCTGGAATTATTTATATGTATAAAGAAACGTGCCATCGCTCATGAGCTGGAAGCGAGCAGTGGTTCTAAGTGGTACATCTGTAAAGTACTTCCAAGTGCATGGGCTGGGTCTGGCTGTCATTTCAGAAGTCCATGCACATGCCGCCTCACTGCTCACCCACCTGCGTGCCAGACTGAGCTGCTCTTCTCCACAGGAGAAGCTTTCATGCTTCTGAGCATTGAGGCATCTTCCAACAATTCGATCTTCTTGTTGAACTGCATTTCTAAAATAGGGATGACTTCTGGCATCTTGGCAGATATGACACGATAAGCCACATCTGGCTTTCCAATAAATCGCTGGCGGATGCTAATTTCATAAGGTGAATGGACCTTAATGTCATCCACATCTTCTCTTTCAAACCTGTGCATGAGCAAAGAATTGGAGTCATGGATTTCCAACCCAGAGACAAAGACGGTAAGCCTCCCTGGCTTAACATGAGACTCTGTCCTTTGGGAAATAATGGCAGGAATTTTGATCACTATGCCTTCTTTTCCAAAAGGCTCACAACTGGCCGCTGAGGTACCTTCTCTGGGCTTTGTTTCTGATGGCGTCTTCCAAAGCTTGGAGCTGAAGGGCCACCAAGAAGGAGATTCCAGTTCCATCAGCAATCTGAAAGGGCAAACGAAACACAGACAACCAAAGAGATCAATTTTTAAGGAGTGATACCCCTTTTTTTTTTTAAAAAGAAAACTGCTTTAATCTTTGCAAAGCATCTTACCATTTAATAGGCTTTCTCTTCTCCACACTCCACAGAGCACAAAGAGCAGGAATTACTATCTCCATGTTTAGAAGAGAAAACTGAGACTCAGGGTAGTAAAGACATCTGCCTATAGACACAGGAGTAAGACACAGCAAAACACACACCTTTTGACTAAGATATTACTCTTTCCACATGGTGCTGCCTTGACCTGGGCAATTCGGTTTCAAAATAAATCCTGATCCTAATCCCTAGAGAGCTATCTAAAAGAACTTTCTGTGGTAATGTAATATTCTATGTCTGTACTGTCTAATATAACAGGAGGCCCACATAAGTACTGGGCCCTTGAAATGCAGTTAATTTAACTGAGAAACTGAAGTTTTAACTTAATTCACTTTTAATGTTGTTAGTGGCTACCATCTTAGATACCGAAACTCAAAAGCGACCACTAATAACACTAAGAAATTTATCTAAGAAGTCAACAGAACAGAGAAAAGTGGAGACAGGAAATGAAAAACAAAGGAACAAAGATCAAACAGAAAACAAATAGTGAGATGACAGAATTAAAACAAGCCATATTAGTCTTCATACTAAATGTAAATGGACTAAATCCTCTAATTAAAAGGCAAGCCTGGATAAAGAAACATATCAAATTATATCATGCTTACAAGAGATATACTATGAAATATGAAAACACAGATCCATCAAAAGTAAAGGATTGGAAAAAAGATATATCATGCTCAAAGTAACCTTTAAGATAAGAGGTGTTACCATAAAGATGGTCAGTGCATAATAATCAGAGTCATCCAATAGAAAGACTTAACAATAGTATATATGTATGCACCTAATAACAGTGATTTTCAACCAGTGTGTCATGAGAAGATCTTGGGTGTACCCTGAAAAATTTTAAAGATCATTAATTAAATTATTTTCATGCCTGTAATCCCAGAACTCTGGAAGCCTGAGGCAGATGGATTGCTTGAACAGGAGTTTGAGACCAGCCTGAGCAACAGTGAGACCTCATCTCTAAAAATAGCAAGGTGTTCTGGTGGACATCTGTAGTCCCAGTTACTCCAAGGCTGAGGCAAGAAGATCACTGGAGTCTAGGAATTTGAGGTTGCTCTGAGCTCTGACACCACAGCATTCTACCCAGGGCGACAAAGTGAGACTCTGTCTCAAAAAAGAAAACAAAAAAAAGATGTTCAAAGTAAAGTATATTCTTTTTTTACTCTTTTTTGATCAACACAATTTAAGTGTGCTGCAAAAGTTTAACTAAAAGTTTAAGTGTACCACAAGATTTAAAAAAAGGTTGAAAACACTAATAACAGAACTTCAAAATCCATTGAGCAAAAATCTGACAAAATTAAAAGGGAAAAATAGACAAAATAGTTGTAGATTTTAACATTTCTCTCAATTATTGATCCAGCAAGAAGACAAAAAAATTAAAAACAGAAAAATTTTGAACAATGCTATTTAACAAATTCTACCTCATGGATATTTATAAAATCATCATCTAACAAGTACTAAGTAAACACTTCTTTTGACTATCTTTAGAATATTCACAAACAGAATAGTCTCATATATTCCAAGGATAATATCTTATAGAGTATTGTCCCTTGTCCTTAATCAATAAACAAAACACAACTAGAAAATCACACTCACAAGTAATACATGGATCAAAAGAGAAAAAATAGAACATATTTGAAGTGGCTTAGAGCCCATAGCACAGTGGTTACAGCACCAGCCACATGCACCAGGCTGGTGGGCCAGCTAAACAATGAAAATTCCAACAAAAAAATAGCCAGGTGCCTGTAGTCCCAGCTACTAGGGTGGCTGAGGCAAGAGAATTGCTTGAGCCCAGGAGTTTCAGGTTGCTGTGAGCTGTGACGCCTTGGCACTCTACCACAGGCGACTTAGTGAAACTCTGTCTCAAAAAAAAGTCTTCCTTTTAATATTTCCTTTATCTTTGGGTAAAGAAAAGAGTCACTGGGGGCCAGATAAGATGAGTAGGGAGAGTGTTCCAATACAGTTATTTGTTTAGTGGCTAAAAATTCCCTCCACAGACAGTGCTGTGGGAGTTGGTGGCACATTGTTGTGCAAGAGCCAGGAGTTGTTGGCAAAAAGTTCAGGTTGTTTTCAGGTAACTTTTTTTTGAGACAGAGTCTCACTATGTCACCCTTCGTAGAGTACTGTGGCGTCACACCTCAAACTCTTAGGCTTAAGTGTTTCTCTTGCCTCAGTCTCCCAAGTAGCTGGGACAACAGGTGCCCGCCAAAACATGTGACTATTTTTTGTTATTGTTGTTGTAGTTGTCATTGTTGTTTAGCAGGCCCGGGCCAGGTTCAAACCCACCAGCCCCAGTGTATGTGCCCAGCACCCTAACCACTGAGCTATGGGTGCCGAGCCTCATATAACTTTTTTAATCAGCTTTTTCAGCACTTCCACATAGTAAATTTGGTTCACTGTCCACTTGGTATGAATTTTTTTTTCATCAGTTGTGCTTATTACTGGCCACCCTGACCTCTCTTCATTAGTGATGCTTTTTCTTTCCTCAGAAAAACATTTAATCCATTTGTACACTCCTTATTCTTCACAGCATTATCCCCATACCACCACTCAGCAAGATACTACTGTGCATCTACACGAACATGGCTGTGAGAGACTGATATACCAAGGTTATGAAACTTTACTAAGTTGTTTGTATAGTGCTGCCAACATGGTGCAAGTTCACGAACTTAATTTTTGGACCTCATATACTCAGTAGTGGGATTGCTGGAACATAGGGTAGTTCTATGTTTAATTTTTTGTGAATCCCCATACTGTTTTCTATAGTGGCTGGATATATATAAAGATTTTAAATGAGTGAACCAACTGCACAGCATAATATGTCTGTTTCATTTTCTGAGGGGGAAAGGGTAGCCAATAGCTATGTTGCCTTTTTGGAACCAGATGTCTCCATATGTATCTCCAGATCTTCTTTTAGGGCCCAGGAGTCATTACTGCAAAAGAAAACCTTACAACACTTGAACATTTCTCATAGAAATGAAAACAACTCATCACAGGCCCAAGTGTGTGTCTGTATGACACTGTTTTGGTGTTTCACATCTATTTAACACACCAGAAATCTTACAATCACATAAGATTCTGGAAGGCAGATAAAATAAAAATAAATGGTAGGCACTGTGCACAGTGGGCACAGTGGGCACAGTAGCTCATCTCTGTAATCCCAGCTACTCGAGAGGCTGAGGTAGGAGTATCAGTTGGAGCCAGGAGTGCAAGATGAGCCTGAGCAACATACCTGAGGTTTGATAATTAAGTTGCAAACTTGTCACTATGTGCTTACCACTGCAGCACTGTACAAACAGCTCAATAAGATTTCATTACCTTGATATATCAGTGTCTCACATCCATGGTCATGCTGATATATGGCAGTGTCTTGCTGAGTAGCATTCATTACTGTTGTGTGTTTTTGTGTGCTGTTTCAAGAATGTTGGAGCTTGAAGTAGAGCAACAAACATTAAATTTTTTATTAAACTTGGCCAAGAGTGGAAGTGAAATCAGGGATTTCCATGAAGAAAAAGGCAGGGTACAAATGGATTAAACTTTTTTTTTTTTAAAAAGACAGTCTCACTTTGTCACCCTAGGTAGAGTGCTGTGGCATCATAGTTCACAGCAACCTCAAACTCTTGGACTCAAGTGATCCTCTTGCCTCAGCCTCCCAAGTAGCTGGGACTACAGGTGCCCACCACAACGTCCAACTATTTTTAGAGACGAAGTCTCACTCTAGCTCAGCCTGGTCTTGAACTGGTGAGCTCAGGCAATCCACCTGCCTTGAGCCTCCCAGAGTGCTAAGGACTACAGGCATGAGCCACTGAGCACAGCCTAGATTAAATGTTTTTCTGAGGGGAGAGAAAGGCATCACTGATGAGGAGAGGTTAGGGCAGCCAATAACAAGCACAACTGATGAAAACACTACAAATATTTGTACCAAGTAGACCAAGTTTACTATTTGGAAGTGCTGAAAAGGCTGCTTTAAAAAGTTAGACAAAAACAATCTTAACTTTTTGCCAACAACTCATGGCTCTTGCATTACAACAATGTGCCAGTTCACGTCCCATACTCACCAGACCTGGCCCCCAATGACTTTTTTTCTTTATCCAAAGATAAAAGAAATATTGAAAGGAAGACATTTTGATGGCATTCAGGGCATTAAGGGTAATATGGTGCAGGGAATGGGTGATGTAGACCAAAGGGGACAAAGTTTCAGTTATAAGATAAGTAAGTTCTAGAGACCTAATGTGCAAAAACGGGACTGGGTTAACAACACTGAATTGTATGCTTAAAATCTGCTAAGAGGGGGAATCTTATGTATTCTCAACATATACAAAAGGGAAGAGAAAATAAAATAACAACCACATGAGGTGATGGCTATGTCAATGAACATGAATGTGGTGATTATTTCACCATGTGTACAAACATCAAAACATCAAATAGTATACCTCAAACATGTACAGCTTTTGCCAATAAAGCTGGAAAAAACAGCTGCACTTTAAACAAACTCTTCATATAATTGGTTCATTTCCTTAGCAATTTTAGTTTTTCTGACCTGCTTTCTAAATCCTGAATCATATTTGTCTTTTTCTCACACACCTGGTCAAAGTGGGAGGGGAACTCTGAGACACAAATCCAAGGAGGAATGTGTAAGAACACAGATAGTAGTCTTGTGGGCACTCATTCTGGAGTGTCCACTCTCATGAGCAATGATAAGGATGCTAAATTACAAGGTAAGGTATCCAGAGAGCTGAGTCCAGCAGCCCCAGCAAACGGCTGGGACCTGGCAGCAGCTGTACTTAGATGGGCTGTACCAAGAGAGGTCAGGGCAGCCCATCTAAGGGAAGGTTGAGGAGATGGTGGGACAGGTACAGCAATGACCAATCTGATGAGAGAGTAGGGATGTCAAAACTCTTCTGGGCCCACAAAATTAGGGATGACAGTAGATATTTACTGGAGAAGCTTCATCTTGGCACAGGGCCAGCAGCTGGAACAGATGACTTTAGAGACCAACCACACAGAGCTGGCAGGCTGTTTCTCTCTGACTTCATTCATGAAGTTTTCATAAGCAATACAACATGCAAAATAGGCATAGTTCAGTTTCTAACCTCATCTTGAAGCAGGAATTAGTAACAAACAATCTGAACTTTTGGGTTTATGTAGAAGGTAACACAGCATGCCATAGAGATTCCTTCCCAGATTCCCTTTAAAATATTTACCCAGAAAAAAAAAATACATACCCAGACAAGGTACGGTGGCTTACGCCTATAATCCTATCCACAAGGCAACACCAGAACAGGGGGTACATCACACAGAGAATAAAACAAACTG